TTAATCAATCAGTCTGACACAGACTCTGTGTCCATTAATTAATCAATCAGTCTGACACAGACTCTGTGTCCATTAATTGATCATCCAGACCGACACAGGCAGGCGCGCAGACACACAGTCACTCACAGGTGCGCAGCAGGTCCTCTCCGCTGTTGTGATTGCCCGGCTCACTGTATTTTGGAGTGAAGAGGTTGACCAGAGAGAAGCTGACACATTTAGTCACCATCTTCGGGTCTGGACAGGAGGAGACAGAGAGGGAGGGAGGATCAGAAACCAGACTGCCATCGCTCCTTCAGTGCTGACCCATGACACCAGCTCCACGATGTGCAGCAACCTGTCCTGGGCTTGCTGGCCCTAACCCAACCCCAGCTGCATGGCATCAGTAACCCAGACCAGCCCAACGCAGCCCCAGTGTACCACCCCTCCCTGGCACTGTATCCCTGATACTGCTGGCATCAGTCTACACAAGACAGGTCACAAACGAGAGGCCATGCAGCCCATTTGGCCCCTGGAGTAGTAAGTCGTTCATTCAGCTGCGGATCTCCCCCAGCTCTTTCTTGAACGATATCAGGATATCGTCTCGGACAAAATGCCTGGGCAGCTTGTTCCACTCTCCCACCACCCTTTGTGTAAAAAAAGTGCCTCCTGTTCTCGGTTGTAGCTGTTTTCACGTTGGTCGCGCTTGTGCACTTCGCAAGCTGCCCGGCCACGCTGTTGGAGCCGATACCCTGGCTTCCCTCATGAAAACAGCCGGACGAGACCGTAGATCGACTGACTGCCAAGGGCCCAACAGGCCAGACGGGCGGAATGGCCTCCTCTCCTTCGTGACCCGTCTTGTGCCGCCATGTCGAGCTCTATCGCACCCACCCCGCCGCCCACACACCTGGTGCCTTGTACCAGTGCGCCTCGCCGTGCACCACGATGCACCTCCTCCACAGTCCCAGGGTGCCGTTCAGCCGGAAGAGCGTGTCGCTGTAGGCCTTCTCGTCGGCGTCGTCCGACACGAACTCCTCGTGCAGCTCCGAGGCGTTGCCCTCTGCTGGCGGGCTGCGGTACTCGTACCAGTTGTCTGTGCCCAGCGCCACGCACAGGTAGACGGCCGACAGCAGGCTGAGCAGGCTGCCGATCACCAGCGCCGTGGCGAATCGGTTGTCCACCATCCTGGGCTGCGGACAGGAGAGTCCTGCAGCGTCGAGCTCTTCCTGCTGCTGCCCTGTGCCTGCACTACACCAGCGGACCCGTGAGGGAAATCGTCCTTATTTCAGATTTCACTCATATACCAACACTCTCCCTTGCAGCCTCCTGTGGGGATGAAACTTCCAACGGCTTCCTCAGTGCACACGGATCTTACTTCCGGGCAGTTCAGGACCTGTGGTTCTCTCCAGCCTCCGACCAGGAAGCCGAGCTGGGCTCTCAAGGGGTTCGATCCTCGAGTCAGAGCCGAAACAGCCCCGAGGAAAGCCGGACGCCGATCTGAAACGCAGGCGACGCTGTTTCAGAGCTAAGAGGAGGGAGTGAGAAGCAGCAGACTGGTGAGGCTTGGGTCTGGATCTCTGAGCAGGACGTTTTCCCGGGCTTCC